AACACAGTGGAAATAACAGGTAAATCATCGCAGAGACATTTGCCTTACGTTCGGCTGAAAGCTGGATCCATCATCTTCCTCTGTTTGTGCCAGTGTTCATAGTTCAGATCAGTCACCAAACTAGTCCCAAGAAACCTAGGATTTAGGAACACAAGGAGAGGAGCAGTTTTCAGCAGGGGAACCTCTTCAAACCTCCACGGTCACAAGCATAGCTCTTCCACATCTACTTAGTTGTGTTTTTCCCACATTCAGGGAGGACGATGCTGCTTTGACGATGCCATCATGTTGTCTGAACTGATTCACACACAGTGATACAGCTGACAATGGCTGAAGTGCAGAAAGGTTTTGCCTGGTACTTGTGGAATGCTGAGTCTAACAAGACCCCGGCTCATTTATGAGGTTCCCAAGAATAGGTGTTATAATTAATATGGTAACTGCATTATTTTATTTTTAGGAGATTTAGACTAACAAGGAAAATTCCAGTACACTAAGGAATTCTCAGTGGCCAAAATTCCAGGTGAGAAATTTGATGAGCCTTGATCAAGTTGCTCTGAGAGTAAGGGAAAATCCCATACAACCTCCTTCCTGAGTGACATGAGCACTTTCAGCATAACTTAGTAGATACCTGGTGCTTAAATGTGTCTAGAATTAGTCATGAATCCCAAAAGAATCACAGAATGGCTGAGGTTGGGAGGGACCTCTAGAGATCATCTACTCCAACCCCCCAGCTCCATCAGGGACACCTAGAGCACATGGCACAGGGTGGCATCCAGGCAGGCTTTGAAGATCTCCGGAGAAGGAGAGTCCACAACCCCTCTGGGCAGCCTCTTCCAGGGCTCTGTCACCTTCACAGCAAATAAGTTCTTCCTCTTATGGAGACGGAACTTACTGTGTTTTAATTTATACCCATTACCCCTTGTCCTGTCACTGGTCACCACTGAGAAGAGTTTGGTCCCATCTTCTTTACATTCTCCCCTCAAGAATTTATGCATATTGATCAGATTCCCTCGCAATATTCTCTTCTCCAGGCTTAGCAGACCCAGCTCATAAATAGATGTTCCAGTCCCTTAATCATATTCATGGCCCTAAGCTGGACCCTCCCCAGCTTGATAAGCTCCACATCCCTCTTGTACTGGGGAACCCAGAACTGCACCCCATACTCCAGGTGAGGCCTCACCAGAGCTGAGGAGAGGGGCAGGATCCCTCCCTCCACCTGCTGGCAACATCCTCCTGATGCAGGCCAGGATCCCACTGGCCTTCTTGGCCAGGAGGGCACATTGCTGGTTCACGGTTAACCTGTTGTCAACCAGGACTCCCACATCCCTCTTGAAGGAGCTGCTTTGCAACCCCTAGTCTGTCCTGCTGCCTGGGGTTATTCCCCACCAGGTGCAGGACCCTGCACTTGTTCTTGTTGAACCTCATGAGGTTTCTCTCTGCCCAACTCTCCATCCTGAAAGGCATCACAGCCCTCGGGAGTGTCGGCCACTCCTGACACTTTTGTATCACCCGCAAACTCGCTCAGGGTGCACTCTGCGCCCTCCTCCAAGTCATTGATGAACAACTTGAACAGCACTGGGTCCAGTACTGATCACTGTGGGACACCAAAAACTGATCACTGTGGGACAGCACTGGCCACAGACCTCCAACTAGACTTGTCTCCTTTTTCACGACCCTCTGAGCTCTGCCATCCAGCCAGCTCTCAATCCATCTCACTGTCCACTCATCTCACCCACGCTTCCTGAGCTTCCCCATGATGATGTTATGAGAGACGGTATCGAAAGCCTTGCCGAAGTCAAGGTAGACAACATCCATGGCTCTCCCATCATCCATCCAGCCAGTCAGCCCATTGTAGAAGGCTGTAAGGTTCATCATACATGACTTTCCCTTGGTGAAACCATGCTGACTACTGCTGATCACCTTCTTTTCCTTCAGACACATAGGTATGGTCTCTAGGATGAGCTGCTCCATCACCTTTCCAGGGAGAGAAGTGAGACTGACTGGCCTGTAGTTTCCCAGGTTCTACCTCTTGTCCATTCTGAAGACTGGAGTGATGTTGGTTTCTTCCAGAGCTTCGGTATCTCCCCCGCCCTCCATGACCTCTTGAAGATGATGGAGAGTGGCTGAGCAATAACCTCTGCCCGTTCCCTCAGCACTTTTTGGTGCATCCCACCCAGGCCCCTAGATTTATGGGTGTCCAGTGAAGTCCACCAATGACTACTGAGTCAAAGTAAATGTGATGCCTATGACTTTATCTTTTTCTTACTTTCAGGTCAAAATGTCTTCAGATGGATTTTGCCTACCTTTCACCAAATAAGTTGCAGATGTTACTGTACACCAGTGGATCCTTTTGGTATTGAGGTGACATCAAGACTTCCTAAAATCAAATTTCACATTAGCAAGTACAGAGGGCATTCCATTTCCCACAGCAAACAGAACAAAACACTCGTGCATTCGCTCTTTCCTTCCTACAGCCAAAGCCTGAAGGCTTCATGAATTATTTGGTGTATCCTGGTTTGTGGGCTGATAGCTTGTTCTGCATGAGTGTAGCACTTTCTTCCCCAAAGATCTCAGACATTGTGACTATGACCAGGATTTAGAAGGTCAATCAGCCCCTTTGTACCTTGCTTTTTTGAGATATTAAGATCTTGTGTGATTTCAGAAATGTGGATGCTTGCTCAGTGTGCAGCTTAAAAAACGGTAACAAGTTAAATCAAGCAAGAAGTAGACAAAGGACAGCCAAGAGTCCAGAGCAATACCTCACCCTCATAACCTGGCTCAGATCTGCACTCCCACATGGCTGGGTCATGCTGCTCTAAGGTTACACAGCACCTCTCTTCTCCCGCAAGGGTGGGCTGATGCCCACTCTACATTCTATTTTATTTGCATACCTTCACTCCTTCAGGACTCACAATCATCACTGAGACTCTGTGAAAAGCATTAATGCGTAAAATGGGTCCATATTTTTCTGCCCTACAAGAAGGTGAAAAAAAAAAAACAGAATTATGGTATAAGACATGAATATGTATCAGTGCAGACCTAATAACCTCAAAGGATTAAACTACAATGTATTAGACCTACTGTTGTCTTGACTGAAAAACAAGAGCAATCAATGCTCTGGTTCAGCTGCTGACTTGCTGCATGATGCTTATTGATGTAATTCAGCATTTCTGTATCTTGATTTGCCAAGTTGTATCACAGGGCTACTTGATTTTAAGTTATTTAAGTATCTCAACTTACCATTCCAGGAAGAGATCTTGGAGAAGTTCATCTTTCTTCATGATTCTCCACAAGGCTGGCATATGTCCAAGTAGAAAGCTACAGAAAAAGAAGTGTTATGAGGCAGGCAAAATGCTGATTTTAGGGTAGAAGGGCTTTGGAAGAATGTGGGGTTGTCTCCAAGATCTTTTTGTTCCCATGTGAGCTAGTGATGCAAAGAACATTTTGGAATGACACGTGTTCTTTTAAAAGAAATAATTTGTTTTTAAAACATGCTCAAGATCCTTCACTGAGGAAAACGGACAGAGGAAGGACAACACCATTTCAGTTTTAAACTGGTCTTAAACTGTGGAGAAAGTGGGAGACATTGGTCTCCCTTTCTTTCCAACATCTAAGTAAGAACACCACAAAGTTGGAAGTATAATCGCTTTTCCCATTATTATATTTAACTGAAGTGATTATATTTTACCAGGGAACCACTTATCTAGGGGATCATTCCATTGTTCCCAAAGAGTCGTACCTCCCCGCACGTTATTTTGCTTCATCTCTTTCTGGTACCACTCTTCTGTATTTTGCTGGATAACACCGCACATGTGGAATGCTTAAATTTGGATGAACTATGTGTTAGAAGCAAATCACAGAATAATGTGGTTTGCAAGGACTATTGCAAACCACAAGACTATATGTCCAGTTTCCTGACCCCAGCAGGGCCAACTTCAGAGCCACATTAGGTTGCTCATAGCCTCTCCCAGCCAAGCTTTAAGCATCTGCAGGGATGGAGGGTCTACAGCCTCCATGAACAATTTATGTCAGACGACCACAGGATAGAAGCTTTCCTTATACCTAACTGGAATTTCTCTTGCTGCACTTTGTGACCGTTAGCCTTTGTCCTCTTGCTGTACATATCCAAGAAAATCTGTCTCCATGTTCTCATAAGCACCTATTAGGTAGCTGAAGGTGGCAAGTGGATCCCCTACACCCTTCAGTAGCCCATCTGCCTCAGCATCAACTTGTACTTCCTGTGCTCCAGCCCCTCACCAAGCTGGTTGTCATCCACTGGACTTGCTCCAGTTGATCAA